ATTATTACGAAGATGAAACAATTCTGCAAATCATATAGTTTATGCTAAGGTAGATCTGCATGATCCTGTAGGTGCAATAGGACATGGCATTGTGCTATAATATAGTTCCACCTCATAATCACAAAGGTCCAAACTTCAAAAGCCAGCTCAATTTGATTATCCTTCCATTTGATTAATTAATCTATCATTATAAAAACAACCCACTAGGCCTTGAAAACACTATAAAACCCCTTCTCCCTTCCCATATTCCCCATCCCAAACACTTGTACTTTAAGCTCTAAGCAACTAGGGTTTTGAGAAGATCAAATGGCCTCAAAAGATCAGCTTCCATGGCCCTCTTTCTGGCTCTCAACATTCTCTTCTTTCCCTTGGCAGTGCTTATACCCCTGCCCTCCCACCAACCCTACCCTACCCCTAACCCAGGCCGAGGCCGAACCCCACACTCCATCAGCAAGAGGCAGAGCCCCAGGGATGCACTTAAGTTAGGTGTCTGTGCTAATGTGCTTAACTTGGTCAATGTCGTCGTCGGTTCACCGCCGTGCAGCCATGCTGTTCCTTCTCCAAGGCCTCGCCAATCTCGAAGCTGCGGTTTGCCTATGCACCGCCCTCAGAGCCAACGTGTTGGGGATCAACCTCAATATCCCAGTTTCCCTTACTTGCTTCTCAACGTTTGCGGAAGGAGTACTGGCTTCCAATGCTAAATTCTCAGTTTTCACAGTATCTTGATCATCTTGATCATGGTTTCAGTATTTCCTAGTGGGAATTGATGAATAAGTCTAATACTTTTCTTCAAGTGTTTTCTTAGAGATTTCTGTATCTATAAGGGACATGAAAATACTTCGTATTAATATGTTCCTGTTGTTCTTTATCCGTTTATCATAAGATCTCTAAAGCTAGTTATATATGTCCATGGATTTTATATTTTAGCGATGAACGAATCAAGAATTCTTCATCACTTCACCTCAATTCAGTGTAGCTAAATGAATCTAATGCTTAGGGTTTTTTTCTTGGCAAAATAATTTTATTAAAGAACAAAAAAAAAGAATGCTTCATTAAAATTCTCCCTAAACCTAATCGGAAGAAAGAGTGCAATTGACCCGGACCGAATCAAGACAACCAAAACATTCAGATTATACCCCCAACTAATGTTTCAACAATACACAACAAAATACAAAATGCTTCCCTGATTCAAACCAAGACATTAACCAACCACAACCGCTGCTCGAAACCCAACATCAGACAGCTAACAACCATTAATCTTAGACTAAAAAGCACAAGCTAATCCACATTCAAAAAAGCCAGCAATGATACAACTAGAAATGACAACGCTGAGCTAGAAAAACTAACAAACATTCATCAATTCATGCTTGCCGAAAACCTCTATAATACACGAGCAACCCAACATAAAAGATACGAACTTTTTAAGTTTTCAATTGCCTTCGAATCTTGGACAAAGAGAACCCCACTTTACACTCACCATTGCTAAAACGACAAAACTCATGCCTCCAGCTTCACCAAACAAACTCCAAACAACACCGAAGAGCTTGAGCGAAACAGGAACGTTAAGAACAGACAATCAAGATTAAAATGTTTAGGGTTTGAGGTTCAATCATGTTTAGGGTTTGTTAGCCTTAAGAGCGGATAATTCAAACCCCTGAACCATTCACGTGGTCTGAAATAATTGCAACTTGTTTACTCCATTCCCTACAAGGGAAGAGCATGTGTTTTGATTATAAAATAATTAAAATGTAAACACAAATCTTCTTACAAATTAATTAAGACAGCATTTCGACTGTTCAGAGATCTCAAACTCACTTAAACATTGTGCTAATTAACATTATAAAACTAAAAACAACTTTGATTAGTTAACGTTGTCATACTCCGATATGCCAGTTTACTTTGATATATTATATTTTGCTCGGCAATTATAATTTTTATTAAAAAGATTACAGAGTCAAGTTAAAGGAAAATGTCTCCTTAAAAATCTCCCTAAACTTAAATGGAGAAAGAATACATTCTTCCCGACATAACATAACAAATCAACATGAAACGAAAAGATCGACCAATCAAATAATATCCCAACCTAGCACTATCACCTTAATACAAGAAAGCACCTAAGAACATTATAATCATGAATTGCTATTTCCAAATAAACCCACACACAAATAATACACATTCAATTATTATATTTCTTTTCACTACAATCTGAGCTTTAATGTAAAGAATCAAATAATCCAGGAATCGACTGATGTGAATGAATCTCTACAGACAAGCTTAGCTTGGCTACCCTCCAACGGCAGATTAATTTATTCTATTTTGTCTTTACATGAAAAATATCCATTTTGTCAGTTTTAAGATTAGTTATCATTCATTTGATTCGCACACGAAAAAAAAATAGATTTAATAGTTACACAAAGTTAATTACTTTATCCAACTTAACATGGTTGATGGTTTTCGAATTATTAGTTGGAAGAAACAAATATGCTAAGCCAGATCTGCAGATCCTATAGGGCAATGGGACATGGAAATGTGTTAGAATATAATTTCAACTCACAATCACAAAGGTCCAAACTTCAGCACCAGCTCAGTTTGATTATTCTTCCATTGATCAATTAACCTAGCATTATACAAACAACCCACTAGGCTCTTGAAAACACTATAAAACCCCTTCTCCCTTCACTCCAAACACTTGTACTTTTAGCTCAAGCCAATAGGTTTGAGAGATCAAAATGGCCTCAAAAAGATCAGCTTCCACAGCCCTCTTTTTGGCACTCAACATCCTCTTCTTCTCCCTATGAGTGCTGTAACTCCTGCCCTTCCACCAACCCTAACCCGAGCCGAAACCCCAACCCTACACCCACTCGATCTGCAAAGGCAGATGCCCCAGGGATGCCCTTAAATTAGGTGTATGTGCCAATGTGCTTAACTTGGTCAATGTGGTCGTTGGTTCACCCCCGTGCAGGCATGCTTCTCCCTTCTCCCAAGGCCTCGCCGACCTCGAAGCTGCAGTTTGCCTTGCACCGCACTCAGCTAAGGTGTTGGGGCTCAACCTTAATATCCCAGTTTCCCTTAGCTTGCTTCTCAACGTTTGTGGAAGGAGTACTGGCTTCCAATGCTAAGTTCTCAGTTTTCAATATCTTCATCTTTGTCATGGTTTCCATTATTTCCGTAAACAGTGCATTCGTTTGTTTTATAATTTCCTAGTGGGGATTGATGCCTAATAAATCTAGCAAGTGTCCTTGGAGATTTCTTATCTCTAATTAATGAGCATGAAATGACTTGTATTAATTACTATATCCCTTGTTTTTTCTTTATCCATTTATCAATAGATCTCTAAAGCTAGTTTTATATATGACCATAAATTTTAATATTTTAGCAATGAACGAATCAACAACTCTCCAGTAAACAGTGCATTCGTTTGTTGTTATAATTTCCTAGTGGGGATTGATGCCTAATAAATCTAGCAAGTGTCCTTGGAGATTTCTTATCTCTAATTAATGAGCATGAAATGACTTGTATTAATTACTATATCCCTTGTTTTTTCTTTATCCATTTATCAATAAGATCTCTAAAGCTAGTTTTATATATGACCATAAATTTTAATATTTTAGCAATGAACGAATCAACAACTCTTTATCAACTTCACCATAATTCAGTGCGAATGTAGTTAAACTGAATCGTGTTGATTTTATGAAATTCGAATAAGTCAAGTCGAATATATTTTTTGATTCTTTTGTTCAAATTTAAAGATAACTTCTTATAATATTATATACTAACCGATTTTAATTTAAATGAGTCTCTTCAACCATATACCATATATGTATATATGTTTTCGTATTTTTTTCACATGTGTAAGTAAGATTCGTAATGTTATTAATAAATCACACATCTTAAGAAATATGTAATATACTTATGTTGTTATTTTTAAAGAGGAAATTTTGAGAGAAAAGTGCAAATGAGAGTATAAAAGAGTCAAATAATTGATGGAAAGTATTAATTTCTAAAGAATAATATGCATATGATCAAATTAAATAAAATATAAAACTGAGCTATTAAATTTAAAAAAATAAATTTATTATAAAAAGAGAATTGAAGTTACACTTGTATTCTACTTTGATTGAGTTACTTATGATCGATTCAGATTTGGTAAAAAGAAAATAGATTTAAAAGAAAGGAAAATTGAAAAAGTAAAAATATCAATGACTAAATTACAAAATAATTAAATTACTTACCTAAATACTAAATTAATATATTTTTTTATTTTTTATCATTACACTTAGAGGCTGTTTGTTTATCTCTTAATGGAATCATTCAACGCTGAATGCTGAACTGTTCAGCATTCAACGCGTTTGTTTCGCACCTCTGGATGATTCAATACTGACTGATTCAGCAAAAGAGTGCTGAATGATTCAGCACAGAAGTACATTCTGAATGATTCAGAGCCAGTAAACAAACAGCATGTCACATTCAGAGCTAATTCATCCAGAGCCTCTAAATCATTCAACATTTGAATCATTCAGCACTTAATCATTCTGAAGTAAACAAACATCCCCTTAGTTTTGTTACTGCAATCGAGTTCTGTTGGGACCCTGAATAGATTAATGTTAATGAATCCTCAGAAGATCAAGGAAGAACATGAAGGTTTGACAATTCAACATTATTATTCTATTTTGTCTTTACATTTGGTGAAAAAAATAATTATTTACCGAACATGATTCTGAATTATTACTTAGAAGAAACAAATATGCAAATCATATAGTTTATGCTAAGGCAGATCTGCAGATTGATCCTATAGGAGCAATGGGAACATGTAAATGTGCTATGATACAATTTCCACCTCACAACCGCAAAGGTCCAAACTTCGCCAGCCAGCTCAGTTTGATTATCCTTCCATTTGATTAATTAATCTATCATTATAAAAATAACCCACTAGGCCTCTTCAAAACACTATAAAATCCCTTCTCTCCAAACTTCCCATCCTCAAACACTTGTACTTTTAGCTCTAAGCCAACTAGGGTTTTGAGAAGATCAAAATGGCAGCAAAAAGATCAGATTCCATGGCCCTCTTTTTGGCACTCAACATCCTCTTTTTTTCCCTAGGCAATGCTTGCAATTCCTGCCCTTCCACCAACCCTAACCCGAACCCCACCCCCACTCCATCTGCAAGGGGCAGATGCCCCTGGGATGCCCTTAAATTAGGTGTGTGTGCCAATGTGCTTAACTTGGTCAATGTCGTAGTTGGTTCACCCCCGGTTCAACCATGCTGTGCCCTTCTCCAAGGTCTCGCCGATCTCGAAGCTGCGGTTTGCCTATGCACCGCACTCAGAGCTAACGTGTTGGGGCTCAACCTCAATATCCCAATTTCCCTTAGCTTGCTTCTCAACGTTTGCGGAAGGAGTACTGGCTTCCAATGCTAGATCCCCACTCTTTCAATATCTTCATCTTGGTCATGGTTTTGAAATTTATGGTTTCCATTATTCTCAGTAAATCAGTGTCTTTGTTTGTTGGTATAATTTCCTTGTGGGATTGATGTCGAATAAGTATAATAAGTGCCAACCTTAGAGATAATTTATGTATCTCTAAGGGACATGACAAGACTTGTATTGACTATAATGTGTCTTTATCCATTTATCAATAAGATCTCTAAAGCTAGTTATATATGGCCATGGATTTTATATTTTAGCAATAGATGAACAACTTCACCCCAATTCAGTGTGAATGTAGCTAAGCTAAATCGGAAGATTTAGGGTTTGATAGCCTAAACTTAAGCACATTAGCAAGACACCTAATTTAAGGGCACCTGCTTCGTGCAGGTGGATATTTTCTTCTTCTTTTGGTATGTAAAGACAAAATAGAATAAATATTGCCATTGGAGCTTATCAATCCTCCATTATCTTCTCAAGATTCATTCATGATCGAAATGAGTACCTCGTTAAAAAATTTCCTAAAGCTAAATGGAGGAAAAGAGTAGATTCAATCCGATAAAGACATAATAACAAAAAAGGAAAAACCGAATGTGCCCTTTGCCAAAACAACCCCGCCCTGTAGACAAAGTCATTACACACTTATGATCAAAGCAAGGTAGACTTAATATTTATGATAAACAGGTTGGGGCAACAATTCACCCAAATGCAGAGCAGAATACAAGAGCCTTTAAGGACCTCATCACCAAGCTTCGAACATTTCTCACCTTTTCAAGCCTTCCTTAGCAAGAAAATCTGCCATGGAGTTTCTTTCTCTTGGAGTGTAGGAGAAATGAACGCTTTGGATTAGCTTCGCTAGATTCTCAATTTCATTGAAAAGGTCCCACCATTTCCGTGGACGAAGCACGGGGAGGAGATGCAATTTAAGATTACATGTGAATCAGATTCTACAATCAGGACTTCTTTATTTCTCCTATCAGCTTCGACAAACACTTTGAGAGCAAGTCAAAAGAAGATTAAGCCTTAAAGACATTGCAGTCTATCTGTTTGATCCAGCTGTTCAAAGCTATCCTAAAAAGAGAATGATCTTTGTAGGTAGCTTGGTCGCTTGAATATGTGTTAAAAAGTTCTACATTTTAATGAAGTATTAGTAAAGCTCAAAATAGTTGGACATTGAAAGATCACTAAAGTTGATTTTATTAGGTTAGATCTTATAATTGTTAAAAGGAAAACTTTATGATATCTCTTTTATATTCCAAAGCACTTGATGATATTTTGAATGACAATTCTTAACAGGCTACCGATGAATGATAATTAGTTCCGTTTCTTCATAAAATGAAATCTTATATAATTAATTTTTGGCAAAAGCATACGTGAAGTTTCTATACTTTTAAAAACGTAGCCCTCATTTTATTTTTTCTCAACGTGATCCTTCATCTAAAAAAACCTAATATGGTCATTTGACCAATATTTTTTGTCATTGAATAACATTAGTGTAAGCCCTTCACCATTAGGATACTCTAAGTCAACCATAAGTTTTTACAAAATTCATCTCTATGATTCCTTCCTTTTCCTTCAACAACTGCCCATACAACCGGAAACTGATTATTTTTGTCTCTACCAACCGCCATTTGAGAAAGCATCCAAGTCAACAAGAATTAACGGAGTGGTTTGGACAATGACGGAAAATATTAGTCAAAGGATCACACCAGATTCTTGTTTTTTGAATTGAAGGACACATTAAAAAATATAATATTAGGTTCACATTAATATTTTTTTTAAGTACATAAGTTTGGCGTATCCTTTTGTCGTAATTTTATTTTTCTTTAAAAATTTGATTTATTTTCTTTATAACAATTCGTTGCTTTTGAATAATAGAATTCAGCACAATTGCAGGTTGAGTTGGAGGTGGCGACTCGACGAGTCAGATGTTGTCTTAATTAAAGTTGTAGAAGATTGTGTTTGCATTATTAATATATGGAGAAAAGGCATGAGACGCCCCTGAATTTTTTTTTAAATTAATATGGTCCTCATCTTTTTTTTTTCAATGTAGCTCTCGAACTTGAAAAAAAACTAATGACAATTTGACAATGTTCCCGTCGTTAACAAACAGAGCCGTTAATTTTGCTGAAGTGACACGTCAAGCACGCCATCTCCCTCTGTTTAATGTTGTTATAAATGGGTAAATTACACCACTCATAACTCAATTATCTTTTCTCTTATTTTGGTCACTAAACTTTAAAAATTTCAATTTAATACTCAATTTTTGAATTGCTCCTAAACTTTAAGAGTTTGTTAGAGGGGATTGTGAGTTACATTTCATATGTTGCAGTATGGAAGATGATGGCAATGACAATTTGAGTTCGCGTTTTGGTGATTTGTTGCGTGTTTGGATGGTATAGAGTTGGGAAGGAGGGTGAGAAGCGAGATAACATAATTAATATTATTTTAACCATATATTAGCATAATAATAATAAATGCCACATCATACATAAATATTAATAAATAAGTCATTTTGATTAAAATAAGAGCAATTCAAAGTTGAGTGATTAATTGAAAACTTTTAAAGTTTAGTGACCAAAATGAGATAAAAGATAATTGAGTGAATGGTGTAATTTACCCATTTATAATAGCATTAAACATAGGGAGATGACTTGCTTCACGTGCCACGTAAACAAAAATTACAGCGTCTTTGGTCACGACGAAAGACGTCGGTCAAAAGGACACATTAGGTTATTTTTTTGAGTTTGAGGGCTATGAGAGAAAAATAGGATGAGGCCAACATTGATTTTTCTTGAAAAATTATTGGTGAAGTTGATGAAGAATTGTTGATTCATTTATTGCTAAAATATAAAATTCATGGCCATATATAACTAGCTTTAGAAGATAAGTGGATAAAGAAACAACAAGGAACATAATTAATACAAGTCTTTTCATGTCCCTTAGAGATACAGAAATCTCTAAGAACACTTGAAGAAAAGTATCAGAGTATTTCAGTATAGTATCATTCCCACTGGGAAATTAAAACAACAAACTCACAAACGGAAACATGGATTTATTATAAATACTAGAAACAATGACATAGTGAAAGCTGACAATTTAGCATTGGAAGCCGGTAGGAACGTTCCTTCCGCAAACGTTGAGAAGCAAGCTAAGAGAGATTGGGATATTAAGGTTGATGCCTAGTATGTTAGCTCTGATAGCGGTGCAAAGGCAGATGGCGGCTTCGAGGTCGACGAGGCCTTGGAGAAGGGCGCAGCATGGCAGCACCGGGGGTGAACCAATGACGACATTGACCAAGTTAAGTACATTGGCACATACACCTAATTTAAGGGCATCCCTGGGGCATCTACCTCCTGCAGATGGAGTTGGGGTGGGGTTCGGGTTCGGGTTCGGGTTAGGGTTAGGGTAAGGGTTGGTGGAAGGGCATGAGTTGCAAGCACTTGCTAAGGAGAAGAAGAATGTTGAGTGCCAAAAAGAGGGCCATGGAAGCTGATCTTTTTGAGGCCATTTTGATCTTCTCAAACCCTAGTTGGCTTAGAGCTTAAAGTACAGTGTTTGAGGATGGGGAATATGGAGGGAAGGGAGGAGTTTTATAGTGTTTTCAAGAGGCCTAGTGGGTTGTTTTTATAATGCTAGGTAATCAGGGATGGATTGAAAGAGGTAGGGGAGCAGTCCCCTAAAAATTTAAAATTATTATATATTATATTTTTTTATGTATTTTTATTAAAAATTTATTTTACCTTCTTATAATTTAATAAATTAGTCTATTTTTAAAATTTTAGAAATCCGTCTCCTAACATAAAATTTTAGAGTGGCTAGATTATTTTATCAAATGAAGGGATAATCAAACTGAGGTAGCTGGTGAAGTTTGTGGTTGTGAGGTGAAAATTATATTACTGCAAATTGTCATGTTCCCATGGCTCGAATTGTTATTATTTTTTAACGTTCTAAGTTCGAGTACTAAAAATTTAGATGTATAAGCTTTTAATGTCAAATGGTAATATATCTTTAAATAAATATTAATTTATACTTACCTAGATTAATTAAAAAATATATATATTTTTATTTTTATTTTTCATGTAAGAATCGAAAGAATGATAAGTAGATCTTAAAACCGTTACAAAATACACACATGAATCGAACTCATTTTCTACTACGTAATAAATGAGGTTATGGAATAGAAGGTTCTAAGCTCACCCGTGACACTACAGTGCAACTAATTTGGATCGTGACACTACAGTCCAACTAATTTGGACCGTGACACGCCAGTCAAATATATAATTATTTTTTCACCAAATAAATATATAATTAATTTTCAATTTTGATGAATTTTTTTTATCGTAATTAATATTAAGAATTATTGATTAATTCAAACTACAACTTAAGGGATAAACATAGAAATAGAGTTGGTTTATGAATAATTAATTGGGCTAATTACGTAAATTCAATAGCCCCCCGTGACACAGGAGTCAAATCCAGCTAGATAACTTCCACTCACAACATACCAAGATTTCCGAACATGAAAAATTGATGGTATTTTCAATTTTGAGTTAATCGTTAATTTATTGATTATTATATGATAAAATTTGATTTAAGAATCTTAAATGATTATTACATCTCAGTCATCATGATAACGTACAGCTTAAATAACCGCCAATTTTTCAACAACAAAAAATGATGAATTTAGAACATAATTAATAGTCAAATGACTATTTTGTAACTTTTGATAGTTAATGGGCTTGACAAAGCAACACTCTATAGTTGGAGGATCATTTTATAACTTTTAATAGTCGATGAACTTAATAAAGTAATACTTTATAGTCAATAACCATTTCTATACTTTACCGATATAAATTATTGTATAATAAAAGAAACATTTTTTATTAAAATATATTTAAAATTTATTATAATATATTAATTGATATTTAAATTATTAATGTATCAAATATGAACGCAGAATTCATTCATATTATTTAAGCAATGGTTTTCTTTGGTCTTCCTTATATGGTGGAATCACAAATGTCAAAGGGGAATATAGCTAAAGATTTTCCTTTACCTTTGCTTGAAATTGGACTAAACTAATCTTTGAAACCGATTCTTTATATTAATATTTAAAAATAATTATTTTTTTAATAATAATAAAGGATGCAAAAGCTTTTTTTTTACTCGACACATATATTTTTATTAAAAAGCCCAAAGAGTCAAGTAAAAGGAAAATATCTTATTAAAAACTTCTCTAAATCTAAGTAGAGAAAAAGAGTATATTCTCCCCGACAGAACATAACAAAGTCAACACAAAAATAATAAATTCGACAAATCAATTAACATTCCAACCTAGCAACTAGGGGTGTGCAAATCCGGGTACCCGAAGTGTCAGGTACCCGGATCTTCGGGTAATTGATTTCTCGGCCTGTGTTCCGACCCATATGTTGTGGTACACAGTAATCGGGTACCCATATACCCGATTTTTTCCCAAATTATTAATTAAAAACACACACATATTTAAATATTCGAAACTTCGAATTACATGGTCCAACATCCAAACATAATTTTTTTTTTGCTCAGCAAAGAACAATTTATTTCATTATAACATTAGAACGAAATTCAACTTATGAGCCTCGTTAAAAAAACTCCCAAAAAATTGAGGAAAAGAGTGTTACATAAGAGAACAGAAACAAGCACTGCATACCAAAATAATAACCAGAACACACAGCTCAAAACATTACACCATTACAACCATCAAAGCAATAAAATCTAAAACCAATCAAAGCAAGGTCTGTTCGTCACCAGCATCTCATGTACAGTCAACAAAAATATAGCCTCAACCACCATATTGAAGAACCATACAAGGTGCTAGAAGAAGATTTGATTCTGCAACAAAACAGTGGAGAAACCAGCAGTAAACTTAAAGCAGAACCAATCCAATTGACCTCCACAACAAAGGACCATAACTTGTAAATATGGGTGATCAAAACAGAATCAAAACGTAACGTTAAGTATAATTTAAAAAAAATAATAATAATCGAGTGACCAAAACATAAATTAGATAATATATAAGTGACCAAATAGGTAGTTTACCCTATATAAAAATATATATGAATTATATTAGATAATATATAAGTGACCAAATAGCTAGTTTACCCTAAATAATTATCGAGTGACCAAAACATAAATTAGAAGATATATAAGTGACCAAATTGGTAGTTTACCCTAAATAATAATCGAGTGATCAAAACATAAATTAGACAATATATAAGTGACAAAACAGACAGTTTACCCTAAATAATAATCGAGTGGCCAAAACATAAATTAGATAATATATAAGTGACCAAATAGGTAGTTTACCTTAAAAAACCCCTAATCGGATACTCGGGTATCTGGAAAAATTCAAAATTTTGTGACTTGGGCCCGACCCGAGAAATGTTGGGCCGGGTAATTTTTTTAGAAAATTATCCTTTTTTAGGTTTAGGTCGACGGGTCGATGGATCGGGTCAACCTGGTCGGGTATTTTGCACACCCCTACCGGCAACTATCACTCCTAACACAAGGAAAGCACCAAAGAACACGCAAATCCAAATTGACTGCTCACCTATCCATCGACTGCTGCATAAAAAACTTGGAAGAAACTCCTGCCAAACCATTGCTTGATCTTCTGAGAATCACAAATGGATCAGTTTGAAAGCACACTCTAAGTACAAGAAGAGACGAAATCAAAATTAAATATTGACACGAGTCGAAATATTAGACTAATTAATAAAATATAAAGACTTATTAGATATTTAAATTCAAAATTCAGTATGAACAAGCAACCTTAGTGATTAAGGGGATTGTTGTTATCCTTGAAGTTCGAGTTCGAGCACTGTGTATGTAAGGGTATGAGCGTTCATTGTCAAATAGTTGAAATTCTTTGTACATATATTACCTTGTATTCAACATAAATTTATGATAAAAAACTCAAAATTCACAAGACAACTTCTAATTTATCTAATATTTAAACTTACAATGACCTAAATTGTAAATAGACTAAAAATTTAAGAACACATACTTATCATTCTTTAGTTCGATCACTACTTGATTAAATATTAATAACATTTTATAAATTTAAATTTAAATATTTAATTTTACATGAGCCAAAATATTATTAAACTAAAATTATATCGAATATATAATTTTAATAGGGGCTGATGGGCCCTAAGGGAGCCCCGTCCCTGTGTCCAAGCTTGATTGAGCGAGACCATCAACTTCACCAAAGAACCAAAACCTTCTGGGACAACCAAGACGATAACAGACCCGAGACGAAACACCCGCAACCAATAGCACACAAGTAGTCACCTTAGCAAACAACTCCAACCCCTTGGCCAAGACTCGAGCAAAACATCGATGGAAAAATGATTCAGCAACACGCAAAGATCAAATCAATAGAAAATACAACCAAGTAGCACAAAAGCTTTTACATTATAGAGATACTGATCCTATGATGGAGCGAACCGAGAAAACCTTGTGTGAGAGACGTTTGAATAGCAGGTGGAGCTGTTGAGACGACACATAGAGTCGTTTGAATAGCAAGTGAAGCTGTTGGGAGATACATAAGGATCCATTATTGTAATATTCTGATTTTGCAAGACCATAAAAACTTGAGCGTTCCACGTAAAAATTTTCATATTCATGGATAATTAAATGGAGTGGGAAGGA